GTTTTAAGTAATATAATGACATGAATAAACATATACATGTTATTAAAAATTCATGATTGGCAAGTTTTTAATGTGAATACTTTACAAACATATATTTAAATTAGATTATGTTCCCCCGTTAAAACTAACATCGTGTCCTGGAGGAAAATAGCTACTTATGATTTGACAGCGCTTACCGCTTACGATCGCCATTTTGCTTACAAGCGCTTGCTAGCGCTTTTTTCTGCCAAACGCACCCAATATGTAGATACTTTGTAACCTTTAAGGACTATAATAGAATGCTTCGTTTCCAGTGAAAACGATCTCCACTCCTCTATTCTCAATTATTAGCAGCATTAAGCTTAAAAATAAAATTATCAATAGATTAAATTTATCTACACATACTTTAGAGTTAAATTAAGCATTATGAATGAGTATAACCATGTAAATACATACAGATAATCCTTGGGAGAGGCCTACAATATTTTTATACATTTAAAAGCCATGAGTCAGTTCGTCTTTTTTTATAGCATAAAGGTGACAAACGAGCACATCGTCCACCGAATAGTAAGTGGATACTGTGTGACCCATTTACATCAATCCTCTGTTAAGAATCAAAGAAACCCTTGATGACTAAGATGGAATGCCTTGTTTCCTGTAAAAATGGTCCCCAGTTCTCTAAAGACTGTTCTTAAGTCTTCAGAGGTAACAAGGCCACGTTTTTTAAGGTTGATTGCAGGCGCCCTTGAACATACTAATCAGGTATATTTTTAGCTCGTTTCTCTTTGTTTATTAATTACGTTACATATGATATTGTAACTATATAAACATTACATAGCACAACTCGAAAAAGTACACGTGTGCGTGTATTTTTCGGGCATAACAAAAGGAAAAGAAGGATCCACACATCTGAAGAGTTTCATCTTCTAAGTACCTACTCATTGTCGGTATAATAAACTTCATTAAGAGGATAGAGTAAGTCAGCTCAAATTCTAATTTCGCCCCCACTTCCCCGCGCGTCGTATGCTATGTACCGATATGTTTGTAATCACTAATACTGTAAGTAGAAAGGTCGTTAGATACTTATTTCATTAGGTTTATCATATTTATGCCTGTTTCTTAACGCCAAGCCAGCCGCTTCTTATTTTTATCACGGTTATTTCCCATTTTAATTTTACGTCGTACTGTTGCGTAATGTATATTCTGATCGTAAGCGACACAACTTTTCCCTTCAAAAGCCTAAGCGATACTAACGGGGCGACTGGAATCAAGCTCAAGACGCCGATAGTTTAGGTAATTTCTTTTTACAGTGAAAATAATGGTATTTTAAAAAAAGTAAATAACATAAGCACTGCTTTATAGTTAGTTCAGTTAGTATAGTAGTTAGTAAAGTTTCATGATCTTATTTAAAGTATTTTATGAATAACAGCGGTTTATTGTTTATTTTGGAGGTAACTTTGAATTTTTTTTTCTATCGAGAAAATTTTACGAAATCGTGTTTTCGTCTAACATAATCATTAACATTAATCCTCAACTTTACCATATATTTATTTCAAAATTAATGCTGCAATATTTTCGGCATAACGAAGGATCTTGCTAAGCCATTTGACATTATATTTCCCCTTAAGTGATTGTTTAATTAATTTGATAAATTTACTAAACGTATTTTCTTTTTAAGATTCCGTAAGTAACTACCCTAGTAATATATAAGTCAATCACAACAAAAAAACCATTATAGTTTCAAAAAGTTCTTTTTTTATATTTTTTGAATACCACTCCCTATAAGTCTAATGTGAAAATAAGTGGTTTAATTACCATTATCCTATTTTTAGTCGTTATAGCGGCCAAACCGCGAATTCACTTATTATGCTCATTACGAAGAAAGCTCTCGTATTGCGACGGGCAACTACAGAAACCGAGGTAGGTTTACGTAGTTGCCCGTCACAATCATTGTGCACGGCCCGACACGCACTTGACCTTTTTTAAATTTAAAGTTAATTTGTTATACACTTTTATTGTAATGTATAGAGACCGGAGCTATGTAGTATTAGATTTTAAGTTAAGCCTATATGTTAATAGACACCTACTATTTTTATATCAGGTGTGTTTTCCAATTTATATGTAAGAATGGTCAATTGTCTTGAAATCAATATTTCGAAATGATGAAAGAATGTAAAGTGTAAAATGTAAATATTTTACACTTTACATTCTTTAATCATTAAAGTTAATTTAAATAATATAATAAATGTAAACAACTAAGCATCCAACCGGATTACTAAGCTAAAGTGGGAATGGGCCGGCCATATAGCTCGAAGAACCGACAACCGATGGGAAAGAAAAGTTCTGTTCTGTATAGGATGTGCCCACACCAGATGGAGTGAAGACCTGGTAAGACGTGCAGGAAATCACGTGGATGCAGGTGGCTCAGGATCGTGCTTTTTGGCGTTCCTTGGCAGTGGCCAATGTTCAGAAGTGGACTTGTGAAGGGGTGTAATGACGACAATGATGAAGCATCCAACCAGCCATTGCAATTAATTTTACATAAACCGCAAAAAATTTACTTAACAGAATAACTTTTTGGTTTGGGCAAAAAATCCTTGAAATTACCTAAAAAAAAACCGATTGTGCTAAAACGTTTACTTCCTATTGCATCATCTTGCAACCCTATTCCTAACCAATAAAACTAATATGACCTGAAATTAAACAAGATTTTTTGCGCCGATTTTATGTGACTTAACAGTTTTTCTTTGGTGAGTGAACATTTAATGAACAATTTCTTGAGTATATACAATTCCTGTTATGAATTCAACCAACAATGTATTTCGGCGCTTATTAAAAAAAATGGCGACTATCATCGCCGTTGGCAAACGACATTTAAAAAGATTAAAGTAATTAGTGCTCAGTATCTGTGTCAATTGGTGGCAGAGTACGCAGCACATCGCGTACAATTTTACAATCCAACAAATTCACTGAGCTGTTGATAATGCTGAGAATAAACGTGTTTACTTTACGAGCCTCATTCCGATTCTGGCTTCTGGCGTCTCTGTAAACGCTCATATATAAAGGTAAAAATTATCAATTGTTTTCAGCGTAAAATGTGCTGCTGTGTTTCGTATGGTAGACTGTAGAGAACCGGAGACTTTTACTGGAAACGAGGTATTCCATCTGCACTATGATCCTTTTTCGAGGATATTTGTTTGTTTTCGAGGATTGATGTATAGGTATGAGTCACATTATCCACTTACCATTAGGTGAACTGTGTGCTTGCTTGTAACCCGTATTCCATTAAATAAAAATAAATAATATTAATAATTATTTACATTTTAAATCGCATCATGTTGTTAGTAGTTAATAATTTTACAATAATTGTTAGCGCATATAGGCGAGCGAAAAGTCATTTCCTCGGTGCAACTCATAGGTACTATACACAATGCTATTGTTCTACCGGCCTATATCTCGAGTGCATAATTGTTCGCCTCATATTAAAAACAAAATAATGAGTCACGTTTACTTTTTGGCTCGTTCCAAACGTTTGTAAAAGATTGCAATCATTTACAATTGTTGATGCACCACCGACACTTCACACAGCTGACTGCGTTTAAAAACACTTTCTCTCTAATTGAAAATAATGTTATATGAAAGTTACTGAATTTCGCTTTAATAATTCATTCATTCCCGTTCATGTATCGATTAGAGCAACAAATCGGAGAGCATATGATCAAATAAACAACATGAAGTAATGCAGATCTCAGTTTCATTAACAACATGAAATTCGAATTACTAAGCTCAATCAATCTCCGTCAGTCGCACTCGTAGCTCGGCTTAGATAGCTCGCTAAGTGCAGCCGCATCGTGTGAGCGGAACACGTACACAATGAAATGACGTCACACACCTCTCGCTCGAGCCCTACCGACCCATCGCGCCGAGAGAACACGAGACAAACCGAGTGCCCCCGAGCGCGACCGACCGAAGCCAACTAGTGCCCCACCAGTTTCTAGTACGCGACCGCCGCTTTAGAAGTTCGCTCGTTGTTCAACACGTCTCACTATTAAAATACAATTAAATCTAACGCAAAACGCCGCGCTGTGCTGTGACAAAGTGAGTGATTCGGTGGAAATGTTCAGTGCTCCTATAATGCACCGCTAAATTAGCGTTGTGAACAATTTCGGATTACGACCTCGTTTACGCGACCGCGACACTTCGCAGGCCGCCGAGCCGGCGCTCCGGCTTTCTACGGGACGAATCGATGAGAGGCCGCGTTCGGTCCGAATGACAGCTCGCACATTGATCGGGTGAGTAGGAATCGTTTACGGTACTTCCGTGCGCTTTCTAAACCGACATGTAAACGAACATTAGCTCAGTGGTGGCTTTAAGGAAGAAAGAAATCCACCGTTACGAATTACGTTGTATTTATATCCGTCGGACGAATGTATCTCAATATCGTGTCACTGATGCAGAGAACAGAACCACCGAGATTGAATTAGCTAATTATCAAACGACACTAAAGAGTGAACGCTGAGCGATACAGTCATCGGTCTTTGAACCGACACGATAATTTGTTTACTATATTGAAACGTCTAGAAACATTCATAACTATATTAATCATAACAACAAACACTTCTAAATAAAATGGAAAATACTCATATCCTATATTATTATTATTAAAAAAAATCCTTCAGTTTCACTAACGGTGTAATAATATCCACTGCCCAATGTAATACCGTGGTTGTCATAAGAGGCGACGGAGGAAAACAAATCAGATGGGCAGCCACGTGTTCCTAATGACGAATAAAAATAAAAATAAATTGTGGTTGCCAGTCCGCTTGCCAAGCATAGCAACTATTACAAATATCCCCCTATGAGGCAATCTAATTAACTAAAAGTCTAAAATCTAACTATAAAACTGGTAAATTGTTTCAATTAAACAATATATAAGGGAGGCCTGTTCAGCAGTACACTTTAATAAACGGTAACGGTTATATCCTTTAATTTATTCCTGTGTTGAAAGTTAAGACAAGAAAATGTATATGAGCTCCAATGAAGCGTATTTTAAATGTAATTACAGTTTAGTGCACATTAATATCCAATAAAAATAGTCATAATAGTTAATGGAATCATTTTCAATAACGACGCAAAAGATAATCTGTCAGTAAAACAACTATCTCTACTTTACATGCATAAAAATACTGACTAATGAGACAGAAACCAAAATTGATAACGTTTATCTCAACTGGATATTGTTTCAATTGCAGGCTCGATCCAGGCGAATGGTGATTGGATGACGATCTCAGCGCGCTCCCCGGACAAGGAGCCGTCGCCACCGAAGCAGATCAACTTCGCGGAGCCACTGGTCGAGTCGGTGCGGGTTTACCTCGCTAATGAGGTGCCGGCGAAGCAGCTAGCGCTGGTCCCCGCGCCGTCGCCACCACTGCCACCGCCACCGCCACTGCCCGTCTGCCATGCGGACATAGCGAGCGACACCGCGCGCGAAGACATCCGCGGGATTAACTTCGAGCCCCGGCTCACGCGCAATGACGTGAACAACAACGCATCGCGCCGTGCTACCATGCCAAGCCAGGCCGAGCTCATGCAGCGTCAACCTCTGTTGGCACGTAACGCCAAGCCCGAGCCACAACCCACTACAGATGACTCGGATCCCGACCAAGAGCACTCACCTCAGCGCACCCATGCCACTGATTTCGTGGTCGAAATACCGCCCGGCACCGTCCGCGAAGAGCGCTACCCTAAGGAGATATGGAAAACCATAGTCTCATTTTTCTTCTTATTCCTCTGCGTTTGCATCAACATGATGTCACTATCGCTCGTCCATGAACGCCTCCCCGACAGAAATACCACCCCACCGCTCACCGACATCGTGCTAGATAATGTCACCGCACGGGACTGGGGATTGGCAGTTTCCGAGTACCTCATAATGATATCCACGACGGTCGCCATGCTTGTAGTCATCTTCCACAAGCATCGATTCATCGTCGCGCGACGCATGTTCGTCATAATCGGCCTGCTGTACTTGTACCGGTCAGTCACCATGTTCGTGACCGTCGTGCCAGTGTCGAGTACGACGTACTATTGCAGTCCGAAGAGCAACACCACGACACCACTGCTCGTCATCAGGAGAATGTTCTACTTGATTTCGGGCTTCGGGTTGTCCATCAACGGCAAGCACACGTACTGCGGCGACTATATCTACTCCGGGCACACGATGGTACTCGTGCTAAGCTACCTGATCGTGGCAGAATACTCGCCGAAGAAGCTGTGGCCCGTGCACTGGGCGATGTGGGGCTCGGCGTTGCTTGGTGTTTTATTCGTGCTCCTCGCGCACGGCCATTACACTGTGGACGTGGTGATCGCGTACTACGTGACCACGCGGCTGTTTTGGACATTCCACTCGCTGCTGGTGACGCCGCACCGCAATGGCGGCAGCTACAACCAGTACATGATCCAGAGGGAATGGTGGTACTGGCTGTTCACGTACCTGGAGAGGAATGTGCGGGGGCCGGTTCCACGGCGCTACGACTGGCCCTTACCCTGGCCTCGGACTAAGCTCTTCAGCCGGTTAAGCTAGTGACGCGCTCCGACTCCGCCGCCCGAGCGCGTATGACGCTCACCTTCTGCGAGTGCCGCTTCAGCACCTGCAGCTCCTTGGGGCTGGTGCGCGTGCAGATCGCCAACGTGAGCGTGTAGTCGAACTGGTGAACGATGAGGTTGAGGTAGACAGTCTCCTCCCAATCGATCTCCGGGTCGCCGATGGGCAGCTTCTTCGAATCCTTGCGGTACACGTCGACGTCCGTCTGCGAGCACCAGGGCGCCGGATGAGTTGTGTGAACGCGTCTTTAGGCTGTGCTTACACTTAGACTCGAGGCTGCATGTGAATTGTGATAGCAGTGCGAGCGAGCGCTGTCCTCCTTAAGGGATTATTCTAACGACTCACGCTTTCATTGTTAAATAGATTTAAGATACATTTTCTTTTTGCAATAAAGGATGAAGTTATAGTCGACTGTTTATGAAATTCTCGTTTTTGTAAAGTGTATTGTATATTTTATAAGTGGTTATTGAACATGAAATTTGGAGTCTAACGAAGAAAACACTATTTATTAACAAATTGCTCTGTGATTAGCTTGGGATGAATTGTGTGATGAGACCCGCGAGGTAAGGCTTAGTACATAGTTGTTGTAATAGACATATTGATAAGAAATAATATTTTTATAATGTATAAAAAAAAATAAAGTACACAACTGTTATAACTGCAAAACTTTTTGTATTCCCAAAAATATGTCTGAGAGAAATTTGTATCTTTAATCCGAATGGTGCTAATCTAGAAACTAATTTGGGAATGGCTAATTTTTGTAGTGTTGGCACAAGCACCAATTATACTTTTAACAAGATAGGAATGTCACAAAGTTATGAGATAATTAATGAATTAAACAGACATAAAGCAATTTAAATGTGACACAGATGATTTGTTTATGATTTGAAAATATAAAGCCACAAAATTATGAAAATTTAACAACTTTCAAAAACAAGTTTACATTAATGGCATAAATTTCATTTCATCAATTATATAAAACCAGTTTTATTTTGTCTTAAGTTGCAAACTTTTAACTTATATTTCAAATATTCCATTTCACACAAAGTTTATACACAACTTTTTTTTATCCACCACAATAAATTGATTTTCGTGACACTTACAGTCACATTATAGTTATAGTAAAATTTGCATTGTTTATGATTCCCTGGCACATGGGGATCAAGTACCAGATAGCAGTGAAATATTTTTTCAAATGTACTCAGCCAAATCCACCACTATTTAAACAATAATTTAGAATAGACTTACCTCATACTTAGGCAGATAACGTGAGGAACCTTTTACATGCCTCTTCCTAACGAAGAACAGGAGGTCATCACAGTCTATTGCTTGCTCCTCCTGGAACAGGAAGTGCCGCACAAACAGATCTGTCCAGTATGTCGTTCCTTGTAGCACCACAAAGCCAGAATCTGTTAACATTGGTGAATAAAATTGTATTTTACTAACTTATATTTTGATCTCTAAGCAGTGTTGCATGTATATATTAAATCTAATAGCACATAATTAATTTATACAGTGTACTATGGTTTATTTTAGAATCTGATATGAAATGAGGGGGGTATTAAAAAGTGCCTTCAAATTATAAACATATTACTAGTGCAAGAAACTTCTGTGTAATCTGCTATATACCAACTCTTTATTTTTAAAATTCATACTTGTTTCGCTGACATCTCAGAACAACAATAAAAAGATAAATGGAGCGCTATATGTATTTCAAGTGATGCAAAAACCAAGTCAAAACATGGTCAACTTATTGTAACACACATTCATAAAAATAAATACATAAACACTCATGCATGTCACCCAGAGGGGTAGGAAGAGACCTTCCATTTGACATGATCCTGACACATCTCTCGCCTCCTCCACATCCATATATCTATGCATACATGCTCTTCAGTTAAAGGCAATCTTTATTTAGCCCATTTCCAATATATCGCCAATTTCGCCGATAAACTTTCGCCTAGGCCGTCCCTTTTCGACTCTGCCATTCACTTCTGCAACATAAGGCTATGTCACTCTTTCTACATGACCAAACTACCGAAGCATTCCTTTCTTAATCATGGTCATGATATCATCTTGCAAATCACACTTTTCTTATCACATAATTTGTCACCCTGTTTACTCAGATTTGGCACTAACTTTTTTTTAATAGGAGAGGGGCAAACGAGCGTACGGCTCACTTGATGTAAAGTGACTACCGCCGCCCATGAACAAATGCAACAACAAAGGCAATTTGCAGGTGCGTTGCCGGCTTTTTAAAAAGGAGTAAGCTCTTCTCTAACATACTCTTTAACAACCGCATTTCTACTGTGTTTATTCTACTCTCGTGCATCTTCTGCCTCACCCAACTTTCACTACCATATGTTAAAGTAGAGACTGCACAGCACTGTGAATTGCCATATGTGCCTTTTTGACACATTCTAATTTTCCACAATAGAGTGTAGAGCCCCATTTTCTATACTTCCTACACTCACTTGTCATTCTATATCCTTATCATATCTATATAAGACACATTCACATACACATATATATCTAAAATCATTTGCAACTAACAACAATGTTTTAATTGCATATGTGTGTGTCCAGCAGTGAAATTCTGCAGGCTGATAAAGATAAAAAGAGACAAAAAAAAATGTGTGCATGAGTGAGTGTCAATAAGTGGAGAACGGTTTCGAAACCACTCAAAATATAGGCAGCACTCTGTCTTCCTTTCTTTGTTGAAACGTGGCTAATATCTAGATTTTCGTTTTATGCTATATTTGTTCCTATTGAGCTTAAAAAACTATAGACAAGGAAAAATCTATTGCAGTAATACGATTTACATATTGTATACATTGTTGATTGTTAACTAAATAATGTTGTCACAGCTTGCCTGGTTGATGTCAACACAATGTTTATGCACTGTTTATTGTAAATAGCTTCAATGGCAAATTATTTGTAGCTTTTACAGTACAAAGAAATGCTTTGCATTATGTAAATAAAATCATATAAAAAAATTGTAGGTGCAAAGATGTTTCGAAAATTAACCTTATACACAATTTAACTTATTATGTTCAAAATTTTCTACATTTCACTGTGTTTGCAAAAAAATAATGTTGCTCAAATGATTTTGACGCAGACTTACTGTAAAATAATATTACAAACTTTTTTTATAAAAGAAATCAAAGGTGGATCCCTTAGTGAACATTAAATAAAAATAACTATTAACTTTGTACCTATGAATAGCCATTAAGGCATCCTTTCTACTCAAACATGTATGTATTATATCATATGTGTATATACAATCAATTCACATCCTTTTATGTAATTTTTATTTTCTCCTTTATTATAAAGGAAAATCTTTATAACTAAACAATAATGTTTTACACAAAAATTATCATTAATTTATTGTTAAAATCAATGTTGCATGCCAACTTGCAGTGTATTACAATTGATCACATTTTTATTAGTACATGGTGCATACCAAAGGAAGCCAATACAAAAACAAAAACACAAATTTTGATTAAACTGCAAGTACTTAGTGTTTCTTATATGTAACTGTTTTAATATTATTGTTATTTATAATGTTAGCACATTGTTAACATTAACCTAATATATTTTAAAACACACACTTGTCTGGTCTCTCTGGTCATGTCTGGACATTGCTGTTATTGTTTTTTTGTTTATTTATGTAAATAAACAATTCTCCTCCCAACAAAATGTAATATGAATGTTAACTATAATTGTATTCATTATAAAAAAAATTGTTGTAACGACACAACAAGAAACACCCCGCTTTCCAGCACCCAGACATCTAAAAAGCTGAAGTACTCGGTAACAGACTCGACGCATCACCACCGGGAATAAAAATAAAAGTAAATAAAAAAAAAATAAACCATAAAATCCATATCTGTAAACACATTCCTTGTAATGCAGTCTCAATGAAGAACTGGCAACCAGCCAAATGAATTTTCCGAGAAGGTTTGATAAGATTGCTTTTTGGAATTGAATTTTTAAGTCAGAGTAAGTTTATTAAATGTGAATAAAGATCTTGTATTTATAACCACTGTTATATAAATAAAAACTAATCTCTCAAAAGACCTTATGGAACCTTGGACTAAGAGTAATACTACTGAAAATAAAATATAGTATGTAACTAACTGTTTATACAATTACTGTTGTAAATTAAAAATTCAATAAATGTTTTTTTACTTAAATTTTCATTTATAAACCCATAATTTAGACAGAAAAGGAAAAGTGCAAGTTTATCTCTATGAATTGTGCAGTGGCGGTGTAAGAATACACACTACTCCATATCATCCCATGGGTGTTTAACAACTTTTAACCACCCTCCTCCTCCCTGGTGATACATGGTGAAGTTTTTGGCTAACCCCCTCACTTACCCAAAATCACGTGTACTTTTTTGGTACATATAGTATCTTAAATATTTTTGATTATTATTTAGAAAATTGTACATTTTATTTACTTCTCTAAAATTACACAAAACACTACTATTTAGGTCTGAATTGGGGATGTCGATTCTTTCCGAAAAAGGTCGATTTTTAAACCAATTTGAATTGAAATCTGATGAATTGATTCACAAAAAAATTGAGGTCAAAAAGATTGATTACTCAAAGAGAAGTGAGTGAGAAGTGGCGAAAGAAACTGAGCACACAGAAGTTTAGCTAGTTTTTGAATAGGAAGTCATTCTTTACAAGTTTTATCATTGGCTCCTTTAAAAACCCTAGGTGTAGAGCAGTGAAGACTATGTGGAGTCGGGCATGTTAATTTCGTTTTAGTACAAACAACAAACAATTTTAATACAACCTATCTTATCTACAGTTAGGTTGCCCTAAACTCTGTTACGATAGTGGTATGTGAAATATGAATTGTTATAATTTTGTTTTCTGAAAGACTCATTTGGTGTGTATAAGTTCCATCTTCAGCCTCAAATGGATTGTCCGGGTCCGAGTGATTAACTTTTATATGGGTGTACCCATATTAATAAATACAAATTGACATAGGTATTTTCATTGAATTATATGCAATTTTTAGTGAAATTATTTTTTTATCATAATTAATTCAAAAGACAAACCTCCTAAACTGAAAACATATACTAATTAAACTTTTAAATTAATAATTAAAATCAAATACCGTATGTCTATAATAAATCTAGGTCCTCAATTAAAAATTATTTCGCAGCCTCTATCATATTCCACTTACCTAATTTTGAGTACCTATTGGAAGTTTATATTAGAGATGGGCCGAATATTCATTTTATATTCGGTATTCGGTATATTCGGCAGCTTTACCGAATATTCGTATTCGGCCGAATATTCGGCTAAATCACCGAATATTCGTTTTCAAAGTGTTCAATGTATTGAAATGTATGAATTGAGTAATGCGATGTCTTTTACTGTTGGAAGTGTATTTTATTTATGGGTTAAATCTACTTAATCTAGAGTGCCTCAAATGCATAAATCTATACATTAATATTTTTGTGGCACTGTAGATTTATTTCCGATTATGGCAAATAGAAACTAGATAAAATGTTTTCGTAATAAAACAAAGAAACATTACATTACATTGGTACATTTCACTTTACTTTGGTCGTCAGTTTCTCTAAAACAAGTCCAAATAGTAAATCTCCTGCCGCTCATTTTTATCATATAATTATAAATTTTTACTAGTAATAAAACAACGAAATACTTTTTTTTATCACCAGAATAGTCAAAACATAAGCATGTGCCGGCAATTTGCTCAGTACTAGATGATGCAATAACATGTCAGGTGTGGCGGGGAGTGAGAGGCAGGTTCCGGCGCTAATCCCGCACGCTTTACGGTAACAAGTTTTGACATAAATTGGTTGGGTCCTGAGGTTATACTACCGAATAATGTTCGGCCGAATATTCGGTTCGGTAAAACGTTTACCGAACATTCGGCCGAATATTTGCATTCGGTGAAATCCATATTTGACCCATCCCTAGTTTATATGAGAGTAAAATGAAGGGATGAACAGATGACTCATTTAATTTTAAGTTTTACCCTCTTAATGTAGAAACAGCAATGCAACTCGTCTTCCCCTAATTGAATAAGAAAAGTACAAGATGCATGGCATTGCATCCATCGCCCTGAGATGAGAAGGTGTAACATGCCATGTGCAGGGACCAATACTAATAAAACATTTCAAAAGCACTACCACTTGGTGGAACTACTAGGTGTGACTTCTACTGTTACAAGGTGCAGCAATGAAAGGATTACAGACTACCTTTACCATTGGAAGTTTATAAACATGAAGACAAATTAAATTATTTTAAAATTACAAGCAATCAGTAATTAGTGTGAGAAGTCTAATAGATATGTATGTGTATTGATAATCTTCGTTCATCCTGTATGAATTAAACCAATTCCAATTCATTGTACTTGGACCATGCAACTTACAAAACAAATAATACGCGCCTTTTGGCGGGTTTCTGCGCCCTCACACTTTTATAGAACTTGGAATTTTGAAATTTCATAGAATGAACCTTTATGGGAATACTGAGTTTCTAGATATATAGAAACAAAATATGAAACTCACCATCCTTCATTAGTTGACGCATTTCCTTGGTTCGCTGAAAGTTGATTTCCTCGAGCAGTTGTTCGAGCATGGAGGCATCTTTTAAATATGTGGAGCCTCCCAAAGCCATCTAGAAGCCAATAATAACAAACACCGTTGAACACAACACATAAACACCTCGTATGTCAACAGAAAACCCTACAGAAAGCAGAAACTGCAAATAAACTATCTTAGTTCTTCGAAATCATGACTAACAATTTAATTTGAAAACTTTGAAAACACTAACCACTGTATTTATTTTTAATTTGACTATACTTTTTAGTACATATAAAATAATTTCAGTCAATTAGATATAATCTTAGCCAAAAAATTCCCCCTCGAATGCCAAAAAGAATCCAACTCAACTGTCATATTCATGTGTCGTCTGTCAGAATTAGACGTCATAGAGGGTGACACTTTGGGGGTATGTTCCGAAATACAACACAGTACACTGTCGAATGCGAATGACGTCATAAATCGACGCCATATTGGTGATTCGTTGTATCAAATATGGTAGAATACGACGTCAATTAATGACGTCATTCGCACTCGACAGTGTACTGTGTTGTATTTCGGAACATACCCTGGTATGTTCCAAAATAGAACCCAGTGTACTGTCCAATGCAAATGACGTCATGAATCGACTCTATACTGGTGATTCGTTCCAAAACATAGGACAGTATATGACGTCATACATTTACGCCATATTGGAAAAGTGTTGGCGATTATTTTGTCATTTTGTGCTCCAAAAATCATTATATCTTCCTAATGGAGATACCAGCAATTATTCTATCATTTTTTGTATTTGAATAAATAAAAACAAATTCTGGCACGCTTTATTCAGCGCACACACAATTAAAAATTGTTTTATTGTGGCCGGATATCCGACGCAATATGGCGGCGGTACGCCAGTACAATATAGAGTCAATTGATGACGTCATTTGCATTTGCCAGTGTACTGGGTTATATTCCGGAACATACCCCTTATAGCCCGTTTACCGTAGACAGAGAGTTTACACTCTCGCGTGCTCTCGCGCGATCGGTGAGCCGAGTCGCTACCTACGTGAGCCACGATGTACGAGTGTAAACGCCAGCTTCGCAGCTCGCGGCGCTAGCGTCGGAGTCGGTTTTTTAGGCACGAGTCAAAGGACCTCGCGAGGGACGCAAGCGTAATGGCGGTTGTACACTCTCGACGAGTGCACTCGCCATGCCTCTCGCGAGCCTCTCGCACTAGAAAGCGCTTTCACGAGTGTGACCTTGTACATTCTCGTTTATTCAGTTACGGTGAGGGACGACGAGGAGATGGACGCAAGATTTCGGACGGATGGACTTTTGTCTTTGTGGTAACGATGCGTGGGTTCCTACAAAATAGGTTTACTTTGATAAATTCAAGACAATTGAGTTTGCTCTTTTGGTTCCACATGATAAGTTTGTGGTAGTAGGATAATCAAATATACTGTACGCTAAATTTTTTTGCGGTAGACTAAAAGAAGCGCAAGTGTACAGTGACGCACTCGTGTCCACTCGCGAGGGAATGCGAGGCCCTTTGACTCGCGCACCAAAAACCGACAAGAGCGGGAGAGCACGCGAGGCAAGGCGAGCAAGGCTCAGCGAAAGTATCCTGTACACTCTCGTCCTCACCTTGCCTCGTCGAGAGTATACAGCCGCCATGATGATTACACTCGCGCTCTCGTTTTAGTTGGTTTACGGAGCTCTTTCGTGCAGTTTGTGTTGTTTTGTTGGGTTTACGTTCGAATTCAATTAAAAAAGTATTTAGGGCATAGATGAGTCACTCTACCAAATTATTTGGAGACGAAACGAAGGAAGTTATTTCTTCGCTCTAATAGATGGCGATGGGAATATAAATTACCGAAAAATACACTAAGAGAGCGCTATCAACTTGGTTTGGTTCGATATTTCGTATATTTAATATTACTTCATTTTATTTTAATATACATACATATATACATAAACACTCACGCCTGTCACCCAGAGGGGTAGGCAGAGACTACAGACTTCCATTTGGCACGATCCTGACACACCTCTCTCGCCTACTTCACATCCATACACCTACGCATACATGCTAGTCGGTTAAGGGTTCCCCTAATTTGGCCCGTTTTCAATAAATCGCCAATTTGGTCGATAAATTTTCGCCTAGGACGTCCCTTTCCGACTCTGCCATTCACTTCTGCAACATAAATTTTCTTTGTCACTCTTTCCTCATTCATTCTTTCCACATGACCAAACCACCGAAGTATTGCTTTCTTAATCCTGGTCACAACATCATCTTGCAAACCACACTCTTCTCTTATTACACAATTTCTTACCCTGTCATTCAGATTCAGCCCTAACATACTGCTTAACGACCGCATTTCTACTGCGTTCATTCTACTCTCGTGCTTCTTCTGCCACACCCAACTTTCACTACCATACGTTAAAGTAGGGACCAACACAGCATTGTCCTTCACTACCATACGTTAAAGTAGGGACCAACACAGCATTGTGAATTGCCATACGTGCCTTTTCCGATACATTTTGACTCTTCACAATAGAGTGCAGGGCCCCATTTACTCTATTTCTCGCATTCACTCGTCGTTCTATATCCTTATCATATCTCCCATCCCTGCTAAATACGCAGCCCAAATATACAAACTCATCTACTTGCTCGATCAACTCCCCTTCTATTCTTATTTCACAAATCGTTTTACTTTCTTCTCTTTCAAAAACCATAACCTTCGTCTTACTTGCGTTTACTTTCATACCCCTTTCTTTTAATGATCTGTTCATTAATGTAACCATCATTTGCAACTCGACCCCGTTGATCCTAATACAAGCACTAAAGTCCCTATAAAGCGACTCCAATGCCTGTATCAAGCCAGCGTTCAACCCAAATGAATTCAGTGTTTGCCATAGCACATCCCTATCCACTCTGTCATAGGCCTTTTCCAAGTCCATGAACGCCAAAAACTTATCCGCGATCATGCGCATGGAAAAGACTTGATCTGTACATTCCATTCCCTTTCTAAATCCCGCTTGCACATCCCAAAATTTTTCATCAGTTTCTTTCATGACCCTTTCAATCAGTACCTTAGCATATTTTAATATTTAAGATATAATGTGCGCCGCACGACCGAAGCGAGGAGGAGTATGTTTGCTGTGGGCATTTGTCCGCTATAGTCGCGTTGTTTTTTCTCGCCGAGCTGTCTTAACTTCGGAAATATTTCACGCTATTGTGTATCTACTACTTACGTACTTACGCACAACGTGCAATGGTGAATAGGTGCATACAATAGTGTACCTTATTTAACATGGAGGAAGATACAATTCAAGAACATAATGAGTGTAATTCTAACCGAGATAAGTAATGTTGAGAACTCGGAGATGTGTTTACTGGAGAAGAATAATACACAACGTGAGAAAGAAATGCTTGAGGACTCTAATTCTAGAGTTAGATGTAATAAGAGACCCGGGAGATGGATGAGGAAAAAGGATGGATAGCCGTAGGAAGAAATGGAAAGAGATTGAGTCAGAAGGTTGATGTATACATTAATAATTCTGGAAAGCTACCGAAGCAATTCGCGCTTGCTGAATTATTAAAGTCAAACAACATAAGCAATGTTAGCCAGGTAAAATATATAAAATCCTATAAAGTGTTCATCAGAGTTGATCAATTGCAAACCTTTATAAGATTTAGGTTGGAGATGCCAATAACCATTAGAAGTCGTCTTACGGCTTTTTAAGGATGTAGAATTAGACTTGGGTGAAAAGATATGCTAGAAGTTATTTCAAGCAATTTTGAATTGATAGCGGTAAAACGTTTAAAACGCAGGAATAAGTATGGTAACGGCTGGGAAGAAAGTGAGTCAATAAGTCTGTTGGTGACGCGCCTATAAGAATATTTCAATTTAATAGGTAACCGATTACGAATAGCTTCTAAAAGGTAAATTATCAAGCAACAATATTCCGATAAGAAAATGCTTAGTTGAATCTTAAAGAAATGTCGAATTAATGATATGAAGGTCTTGGGTTCGACTCCCAGGCCGGAATAGTTTATCGTTTTCTTCGTAATATCTCTTAATAAATTCATATAGGGAATTTTTAAGATATAAATTATATTTTTACTGATAGTCGATAGCCGTGCAAAAGTTAGTTGTTCAAATAGTGTGAGTTCATAGACGCACGCTAGCCACGTGCTTAGGAGGCCAAATATGTAGAAATTTAAATATTTGCAATTTCAGCAATTTATGTAAAAATGACTTGTAAAACATTTCAGATTGATTGTACGTGTAAAAGAGGTGAATTCTGTGTTATTTTTATGTGAAAATTCCTGTGAATAAGTGAAATAATGATAGTTTTGTATAAGAAATTTAAAAGTGTTTTAATAGTGAAATGTATAGAGAAAATGTAAATTAAACTGTTGTATTGGTTAAGATATGTATAATTTCAAGTGGAAAACATTGTTTTAAGTTTCTATGTTAAATATTTAAGAAATTCCAACTTTGAACATGTGAGTAAAATAAGCACATTTTGTTAATTAAATAAAAGGTTTTTTGTGATATAAAAATGTAATGTATATCGTAGTATAGATATTTTTTTTGTGCTATCTTTATAAGTAAATTGTATAAATGTACGTCTTATACAAATAAATTTATTGAGTAAACCGTGAGAGAGTGATAGTACAAATTGATGTAATTGAGTTGCGCAAGCGCACAAATGGCGCGGCTCACTTTCGCGTATAGCTCTGGGGTAGCTCAGTAAACGAGTTTTCTTGCAATTCGTTCGGGAATCCTTCGGGAAAGTTCGGGGAAGTTCGGAGAAACTTCGGGAAAAGTGCAAGACCAGCAGTCAATAAGAAGAAGAAAGAAAAAGTGTAGGGAAGTGATAGGGAAAAGTAATTACTCTCTCACGGAACGGTTTGAAGATAATTGCTGTTTTATTCCCAAGGAATTCTTCCCTCAAAATAATACAGTCCACATCGAAGAATTAAGGCGTTGGGACCGGGACGACTTCGGAAGACCCGTAATCCCCGCCTGAACCTATTTTCTGAAAAGGAAGAGGTTATCGCCCTTGTGTGTTACTCCGTTGCGGAGATCACATACGTTGCTCCCGAACCCAACGTAGGCGCTATAGGAGGCCGAATCGAGAGAAGCCTCGATTCCTCCCTTCTGTTTCTTAGTTAACGTTTGTCTGGTTCCTTTTCAAGTGGTCCTTCGAGCAGGATCAAGGAACCAGCTGTGGACTGCTGGTTATGGAAAAAGAAGACCTTCGGAGCCGAGTGAAGATCAGCAACCGAAGGAAGCCGGAGGT